ATGTATATTACGGTAAACACCCACTGCAAAATTCTGTGCATATTGTTTAAACCCAATAATCCTTCTGTGAACTTGACATGGCGCTTGTTCGTTAATATTTTGGTCAAACAGTTTAACGACGCTTTGTTTGTGAAGTACTGGTAAATAACAGTATTGTGTGTTATTTGGATATAAGTGCCTTCAAGCCCTTTGTGCGCAGCCTTGATGATGTTACGGTGTATGCAGCAAAGGCGTTGGCAATGAAAATTTCACCATCTACTGCGGTTGGTGCCCTGAATCATGAATCTTTCGACCACCCATCCAAACCTGATTCATTCTAGAAGTTCTCTAAGAAGCAAATTTAACAGTTGAATGGCTGTCGGCACGAAAATGGATCAAAATCGAGAAGACTTAATTCAAAAGTCGATGCTCCAAACAACGCCTACGTTGTCCGTCATCAGGAAATTCACTAACCGGAAACGCAACTCGATCGTCGTAAATTTCACTTAGCTGAGGACCAAGCGTTTAGACTTTTCTAGCCATCGCAATTACTCTGCTTTGAAGCGGTTGTCACGAGTCATCATGTAAATTTAACTTACGCATTTGATCTTTGTCGAAGTAGGTTGCGGCGATCGAAACTTCGAAGGAAATGGTCAGCGAAGTAAGTAGGAAAAAAAGCCGTCGTCCTTGAACCGGATTCATCGTAAAGTGTTATACCGGAGGTAAGGGCATTCATTCAAGACTCAGGTTGAGGACTGAGGAGCGATCGGAAGATTCACAGGCGATTCACCGAAGAGGTAGTTTCGACTTTCGCTCATCGATGGAACGAGTGATGAAATTTTAACTTCGATAGGGTTTACTACAACAAGTCAATCTGGGTCAGCAGCAGTGTAAACGCGAACATGTTTTTCGCGTGGTTTCAATGTTTTAGTCGTTTTTCGTTCAACACAGCTGATATGTTTACGATAGCTCCGTGTTGAATGCATGGCATGGTTTGGGCAACGGCTTTCAGAAAATACAACGTATAGCAGTCCACCGAATTTCGGACAAGCCCCTAAAAACTAGGTTCATTTCAGTAAACGGATGATTTGTGTTCTGACAGTGGGCGTCAGAAGATAAATAATTGCCGCTGGCAATTAAATTTACTTGGTGACATAAGTGAACCATAAGGCACATGATAAGTTGCTAAAAACCTGGGTATAACAGATGAATAAATGCGAAACAACAGAGCAAGCAATGAAAAGCTGATTAACTCATAGGCTGACCAGAGGATGGCCCAAAATAACTGATCTTCTTTCTTATGATTAATTAGGCATCAGGCAGCGACCGAAACGAATGACCTCCGGTGAGCCTCAATCCGGCAGTTGCAACGACCGTGCACGGGTTTTCGGCTTTACTCGCCATTTTTGGAAACATTGCTACAGCGAATGAGATGGGTTGGTTTGAACAGAACAGTTCGGAGCTACGATCGTCTCTATCAGGCATTTGAGTTACAACTCACCAGCGCAACAGGTACCTAGTCATAAAGTGGTTTCAACAGACTCCAGATGAGAGCCTGATTTTCCCTCGGGAGACAGTATGGCATGCGTTGGGCGACGAGACACTGTCGAACGTTTTCACAGAACTTAAACTTCTCAGAATAATTTGCACACAACTTTATTATACAACCATTCAAATTTCCCTGAATGCTCAAGGAGGCAACAAACAAAGTGCTCCTAACTGAGGATGCTGTCATCGGCCGCGGAATTTAGCCAAGTTTTCTGAAAGAGAATGGCGCAATTGTTGCTGACACACTGCATGGCAAGAAACGCCCTAAGCGCGTCGGACGTCGGCAGGAAGGCAGAGAAAGTTTTGCAAAATATCGTTGGAAAGTACAGGCTCCTGAAGAGTGCTCGTTTAATTGCAGTTTGTCACCTGCCTCTTACACAATGTTCGGCGTTCAGAAGTAGTGAAATCGATGCACAAATAATTCTAGGGATTGACAGGTGCTTTTGCTGAATCGCACGATGTTGACACACCGGATAGAGGCAATATCACGACAGGCAGATAATCGAGTTTAACAGAGAATTTACCAAAATCCCCATCTGCCTCTTTTTTCATCCTGGCTTATGACCGGCAACGACGTTGTCAATGCTGGGGAATCTATTTGGGCATGGTTGCAGATTAATATACTGAAACAACTGGGGGAAATAAGCAGCAACCACCAACGTGACGACAGTACCAAAGAGTCTGGGGCTACCTTCTGCTGGAGAGGTTAATTTCAAAAAGATGCACATGCGAAAAGTCACTGCGACGTGGTAAGAACTAGCCACCATTAAGTACGCTTGATGTAAAAAACAAAGTGACTAGCTGAAAGGCAACATGAGCATCACTTGAGCGAGTAAATCTTTCACTATTGTTTCTGGTCGATTGCCGAAAAGTAAATGTTCGATGCCACTTGCCACTTTAGTTTACAGTTTGAACCTGTGGCCTCAGAATTTTTTCTGGTAGTGATTCGAATTATGACTCCTTCTCTGTAGTTGGTCTTACCTCATGTGACTTTTGATGACTACTAGACCCGTTGTTGCACTTTTGTTCATTGACTTTTAAATAGTTGGATTTATCTGTTTTATTTCTGCTTGTATGCGGTTTTGTAATTTTGCATTACTGCTAAAAACCAGAATTTCTTGATTACATTACCAAAGCAAAAACATCAAGTTTCAATTAATTAGTTTTAGCTGTCAGAGGCATTAGATAAACATGATCTGTCCAATTGAAGATTCAGTGGCATGCTTCATTCTATGTGATGCTGGGATGCAGGTTCAATCGCTGCCGATTCAATTATGATAATCAAAATTTTCAATTTCAGTATTCGATGCGTTGCCGCGGAATTACCGTCAACTCCACAACATCATTGCACGCCTCGTGTAGTGCACACTAGGCCACTACAAGCATCAACTCGATGGCATGATGTTCTTACACGCCAGCCATTCATAAACCACAGCAAAGCCCGCACAAAATTAATGAATATTTAACGAAGCTTCGTCTCCATGAGGAAATTATTTCCCTTCCTTCATGAATGTGCGGCTGCAGAAATGTCATGTCTTTCAGATAATGCAAAGTGATAATATGTAGAAATGCACTTGCGAGACGGGTTAAACGAAATGATTGCGCAATGGCCTCATTAAAGACTTAGGTTGTTCAGTTGGCAGAGTGTCTTTCCTACGGTCAGAGGATCGTAAGTCAGTCTTGGTCAGGTCGGGAGACTCGGTTAGGTCGCTTGCCGGCTATCCTTGAAAGACAGATTAATGAATACTCGATTTCGGGGAAAAAACTCAGGGGCAGCATCTTGCTATTGTCAGCAAGTTTTAGATATTGTCTATCAAATAACGCACTTTTGGGATTGCACAGAAACAAAGGTTGGCCGTATGGTTTATGAAATAGGGGCACCACGAGTTGTGCCCATCACAGGGTATTTCAGCGGGTACAAGCGTTCCTTTTGATAAATAAATTCTTTTTTTCTCATTTGAAACAAATTTTCGCTAGTAGTATGTGAGAGCAATTTTTGTCCTTAAGCAGGGCAGTTGCAATTATGTCAGCGACTGCCATAAATTTCATGGGAAAGGCAAGTTTTCCTGGCGGAGAGCTATTTATCAAAATTATTTTGAGACCTTCTGAACACATCATGGTTGCCTCAGTGAAAAATCATCTGTTGCGCATCCGAGGAAGGAGATGTATTCGCACTGGAACGAAACAGCGCATGCTTATATATGCCAATTACAACTAAATGCGGTAAAGGAGATAACCCTGACATAATGTTGTTTCCCTCAGCCATAAGCTACTGCCTTGGTAGCTGACACTTATTTACGGAGAACCTGTGACCCAAACAAGAAGTCTAACTAAACATCGATTATGTTGCTCTGACTACTGTAGTTGTAATGGACCGCAGTGAACGACACAGTTGCTATTGAAAATAGCTTTACCGACGATCTACAGTAAACAGAAGAAGCGCAATAGCCACAATGCACTCGCAACACTGCGAACGTCATCGAATTCCCCGTTGCATTCGATTTCTTCCATTGAGACTCAAGTGGCGCATTCTGGAAGCGGCCGATGTTTCCTGGAGCTTATGAACCTAACTGGGGAATAATACTGTAGGACATGAGCCGAAACCCTAGCTTACCGTGAACCGCCGGACGCTTTGGACATTGTCTGTGGTGTCGCCAGGGATGTGTCCTATGTCCTGCTCTATTCAACTTTTTCACTGTTTGGATTATGCCGAAAGCAAAGAAGGATTTGGCCGGAACCAAAGTCACTCTTGGTTGCTATATCATTCATCTTGACCATACCGATGTTATTTTCATAATGTCGTGGAACATCGAAGATGCACAACATGACCATAAGCGAGTTCGTGACGCGGCTGAAACGCTGAGACTACCCATCAACGCAGCAAAGTATGAATACTCTCTGAAAGGCCATCGTAGCATAAGGACACCCCATTCTCCTGTGTACTGCTCCCTTTGAATGAATTATCGCTCTCATTTATCTATTCATGACCTTTCACTCTTCTTCATGGACAGTCAGAGATGAAATTACCGGTTGGATAGAGCAACAAGCGGGCTTTCCTCACGCTCACCTCCTTTGCTGTGGAAACGGCGGAAGATCAGTTTGAAAAGGAAGTGCCGGATTCTGCAAGACTCCACCCTCATTTACGGATATGAAAGCTTAGCTCCGAAACTTTAAGACTTGAGGAAAGTAGAATCGTTCGATTACTGGTATTTACTAATCGTCTCGTAGACAATTTATTTACCGTCAAACTGCGCAATATGTCGCCATTGCAACATCAGCTGGTTATCCACTGTAGTTAAAGAACAACAACTGAGTTGGTTGAGATTCTTGTTGAGATGCTTACTAGACGAAATCATCTTCATTACATTGAGGGCGTTACCAAAGCCTGCAGAAAAGAGAGGGACAATTTAAAGCCTCGTGGCACAACACTCTGGAAGTTCACGTTGATGTCTTTTCTTGAACATCCAGACCAGTATACGGACCGTGAAAGTACAAACGGTGGAAGAAAAAGTGATTAACTTTGGTTGCGGGCAGCAGCGATTTTGGACACCACTGAGATAGGTTAATTCACTGGTGCTGACGACCGCAACATTAACAACAGCAATGACGATAATGACATATTGCCATCGCCAACCTGCAAATATATTTTGATGATTATTTGATATGTCGTCTGTTCATCGTTTTGTTTGTCTTCTTATGCTATGTTTCAATTATTCTTCATTCACCGAAACGGTAATTATGCTTATTTCTGTCATTTTTGACAATTCTTTTGTTTCTTTCAGGGACAGGATTGCTGATTTGCATGCTGAAGAATCGAGCTCTTCTGAAGACTTCAAAAGAGCAAAATTTTAAAGTTGTGACTTTGAACGTTTCTTAGGACCACATTTGAGTGCTAATCATTATTCAAAGTTTAAAGTAGAAACTTATTGGAAGGCGGTTTTGCAATCTTGGTGTATTTCAGCTATTTAATAATTTAGTTTACAAGGAGGATATACAGTGGTGAAATGGTGCACCGTTTGATACTTCATCCTGCAGTTCACACGTGACGACAAGAACTTGTGCGCTCTGACGCAGATCTGTCCATGCGATTAATCCGAAATAAGTCAGAAATAAGACAGAGTTTCTGAAGCCACACAACTTTCACTATTTTATTTCGAAGCTTAGGTTGTTTCAGTTCAGAGAGAACAACAACCTCGATAGAAATCGAACGGCTCAGCATTTATAGAAATATTTAGCCTAATAAAAGAATGCTGGCCTGAAACAGTTCCCGGCCATATGAACCGGTCTTAAAAATTTAATCAGGTCAAGCATGTAGCTTAATGAATTGGTGTAAAGCGAGCTAAAACGATATTTGTTTGAAAGAGCAAAAAATATCACGTTTGTTTCTACGTACGTTTAAACATTTGTAAGCACTTTTTCCTGAACGTGACATTAAACCAGCCGTATATGATGGGGTTCCAGATGACCGAAGTCATGGCGATGAGATGTGCTGCAGTGTAAGCGATGTTGTAGAGTTCGACTGGCAACAGGTTCAGTTCCAGATCTCTGGCGAGGTTGAGAAAGTTAAGTGGAAACCAAGCGAGAGTGAACGAGGCGACCAATACGACGATCATGGCATTCATGCGATGAGTGCGTTCGAGCAATTTCCGGTGCGCTTTACTGGACAGCGCTTCCTTTTGTTTGCGCGCCTTTTGTGACCGTTCTACGAATGAGCTAATCCTCATGTAACAGTAGACCGTAATGCAGAGGGGGACACCGTACTGTACGATGACAACCATGATGCCGAAGACGATACGGTTCCAGTACTGGTCGTTTGGCCAGTCCTCTTCGCAGAACTGGCCACAGATGCCTTCGTACACACGCACGTGGACCAGTGTGATCATTGGCGTGGCACATGCATTTCCAATCACCCATATAAAAACGGCAATTATCTTCGTCAATTTGCAGCTGAGAAACACCTTGTGAGGATGTATAATGGTCTGGTAACGGTCGATGCTGATCGCGGTGATGACGAAGCTGGATACGAAGATGCTCCAACCCTGGAGATAGCCAATGAAGTAGCAGGTGAAAGGAGGAAAGACCCATTCGCGGACGAATATGGTAACTGCAGTTATCGGCAGTGAGGTAAACGCGATCATCAGGTTGGAGGCGGCCAGTGAGTTCATGAATGGCAGCCGAAACGCACAGCACTCGTTGCTCGTCAGGGTAATGTAAACCACCTGGGAATTGCCCACGAAGCCAAGAAACCACGTGATGAAGTATCCGATGCCGAATATCACTCGGATTGACGTGTAGTCGACTATGTCAGGGAATATCTCAGAAACCGGGGAGCAGTTGTGCCCCGATGTCTGTGAGTGAGACTCAAGCGGATACAGTAGCGTCTCGTTAGCCATCGGATTTTGCGTTGCCAGAATTGACCAACGTGCGTCATCGACGAACGGTTTGTTCAGCACAGCCTGTCATAGTGTATTACTGTTCGTTGTACGGTACTCGTTCAGAAGCGTTTCTCTTTTGGTAGACCTGAAAGAGAAAACGTCATAGCAGAAACAACCGACTTATGCATTAAGCGCCATTGTATAGAAAACGTCGGATTCACGGAAAAGTGCGTATTCGATTGCTACGTAAAATCAGAGGACATGTGATTGCAATGTGAAGGGTCAGGAATGCTGCTACAATGCTTTAAATGCCACGTGGCATTCAGCCTGCCTTTTCGAACGAAAACTGATTGATGGGTCGCGCGTTCAAAGCCTGTTTCGCGGAACGACGGTTGAAAGTGGGAGGGATGTCGATCTCCCTCACGACCCAACGATTGGGCGCCACTCGCAGAGCCCTCGCTTATGGAACTATGGGCGCGGCGCTGCTCGACGTTCTGTCGTCAGTCAAGAGTGCCTCACTGTTGTCTTTTCGTAACACAATGTCCATGGCTTGTTGTTTCCTGTTTCACTCACTTCCACGAAGGTAGATTCATTTAACTAGTGTGGAATGACATCAGATCTGAGTGACGTGGCCGATGTTTATACTCTGAACTTCTCGATTGCGAGTCTGACGCCTTGCCAACGGAACAAACTCAGTCAATCACAGGGAAATGATTTCCGGTGCATGATTACCGTTCCTTCGTTGAATCAGAAATTCGACCCATGGGCAGACAAAGACTAGAATATCAATAGTTTGCTGATGTTAGTGCACAACGTACGTGCTGCATAGACGTATGGAATTTTCATTCTAATTCATTCAATGTGTCATGACAGGTCGAACAACAAGAAAGTGCCAGGCAGGCCGTCTATCAGCGTAGCCGAACCGACGACTCTACAGTCTGTCTCGCCTCCAAATTATTCTGGCTATACTGAGGGAAAACCGTAAATTGCATTATCGCGTTCCAGCCTTCGAGCAATAAAAAAATTTTTTCACATCATAATTTACACTGGAGGCAAGCGAAGGAGATTGCATGAGTCAACTCTACTAAAGCTAGCGTGATTAGCACTCTTCAAATGCATTGTAATCACCGTCGTACAATGGACAGCAATATCCAAGCTGCCAAAATGTCGTGGGTGCAGTGCCAAGGTTATGTGAAAGTTATGAAGTTAGCGCGTGCGCCTCCGAAGTTGAAGAATATGAGTTGCTCCCTCCCTTTGCCCACAAAATGCAGACTGACTCATTAATACTCTTGTCCTGCAGAACATGCATGTAAACCCGACATCAACATCACTTACGTGAGTGTTCTTAAAACGAGTACTAAATAATTGGCTGTGTAGGATTCATACGTCATCACCGGACTGCTTCAGATATCCCAGCAAATGCTTTGGCAATATGCAGATGGCGCTGGTTGGTTTCGAGAGAAATTTACCTCTGACTAGCGATAGATTTATAAGCTCTTACCTCTGACGGTCTCTTGTCTGTGCAGGTCAAGAACCTGTACGTTGTGAGCGGTGAGCATTTGGATGAAAAGCGATGAGAGAAAACTTTTTAGAAATGGCATGCAATTTTTATTTCCATCACTGAATACGCAAATGAATAAAAGTTTTATAACGGAAGGTCACCTTAGAGCGGATGAAGTGACGGCAGTGATCAAATAGCTGCAAAGCAACTCAAGAAAACA